AACATATTCCGGACGCTGATCATGAAGGAGGTACGTGGAACGTAATGTCTGTGTACACAGACATTTCCATATTTTCAGTCTTCACCTGTTGTATGTTCTTATAACTTTGTATTCGTATAGTTTACCATCCACTTGTGTTAGTGTAACATTTGTATATGTTTCACCTGCTGTAGAAGTAAAAGTATTGTATTTGATGTGTTGTATTATCCATGTAGTCCGTACTCCGTAGTAAATATTTGTATTTTTAATGCGTTTATATTAGTCCATTACTATTGTCTGTGTACAGAGAAGAAGTGAAGTAAATGTTTGTTTTCATATTGCCGTTGTACACCGACGAAGTGATGTAAATGATTGTATGATTATACGATCTGTGCACAGAGACCAAATGAAGTACATGCTTGTATTTTTACTACATGTCCACACACATTTATGTATTATGTAAATGTGTTATGTAATTTATTGTGATGTTATTGTATTGTAATATTTTTATATGTCTTCACTCAGACCCGGATAACACAAATGTAGATGATGGTACACCAGACGTCCATGTAGAAGTTGGGATGTTGTTTGCGGGAAAAGATGAAGCCTATGATCACTACAAGAATTACGCAAAACGTATAGGTTTTCCCATTAGAATTAGGAGCTCGACGAAAGACAAACAAGGAAACATAACAGGAATGTTAATTGAATGTGGCCGTGCAGGAAATAGAGTTTCAAAGTCAACAAATTTGTTGTTGCCCGGAGCTACTAGTGCAATTGGTTGCAAAGCCGGAATCAAAGTCATGTATGACTACGCCGGGTCATGGGTTATTTCAAAAGTGCATGAACAGCATAACCACCCCATGAGTCCTACCAAAACTAGAGCTTTTCGTTGCAATAGGAGATTGACTATGAGCGCGAGGAGAAAAATTGAAATAAATGTTGTTGCAGGAATTCCTCTTCACAAAACCTACACCTCTGCCGTGGTAGAAGCGGGCGGTTATGAGAATTTACCATTCATTGAAAAGGATTGCAGGAACTACGTTGACAAGGTTCGCCGCTTGCGTTTAGGAAATGGTGATGCCATTGCAATTCAAAGTTTCTTTTGCAAAATGCAAGCGGAGTGCCCCGGTTTTTTCTTTGCCCTTGATGTGGATGATGAATCTCGCCTTCGCAATGTCTTTTGGGCAGACAAGCGGTGCTGGTATGCTTATAGAGATTTTGGAGATGTGATAACTTTCGATACAACTTATCTCACCAATAAGTACGACATGCCCTTTGCACCTTTTGTAGGAGTCAACCACCATGGGCAATCCATCTTGTTAGGTTGTGGCTTAATTTCAAATGAGGACACCACCACATTTGTGTGGTTGTTTAAAAAGTGGCTTGAGTGTATGGATGGTTGTCCTCCTAGTGGAATTATTACCGATCAAGATAGGGCAATGCAAAATGCCATTCAAATAGTGTTCCCAAATACAAGACATCGGTGGTGTCTATGGCATATAATGAAGAAGGTGCCTGAGAAGATGGGAGGGTTGACTGATAAAGACGAAGTTAGTGCTTGTTTACATGATGCTGTTTACGACTCCCAAACAGGTGCACAATTTGAGTTCGCATGGAGTTCTATGTTGCAAAGGTAAGCATTTGTTTTTTACAAGTTTCATTCAATATCACAACTATCGTAATATTCATGTGGACAAATGTGCAGGTTTCAGCTTAATGACCATGAATGGTTACATGTGCTTTACAATGAAAGACATCGGTGGGTGCCATGCTACTTGAGGCCAACGTTTTGGGCAGGGATGTCAACGACCCAACGTAGTGAGAGCATTAACGCCTTTTTTGACGACTTTGTTCATTCTAAAACAAGTCTAAAGGAATTTGTTGATCAATACGGGCGTGCGTTGAAATCCAAAGTAGAGAAAGAGTTCCAAGAGGATGCTAAGTGTCTCACCAAAATGTTGCCTTGTGTGAGTATATATGCCATGGAACATCAGTTGCAACAAATGTACACACTTGCAAAGTTCAAGGAGTTTCGAACTCAAATGGCCGGGAAGTTGCATTGTGACCTGTTAGGGTGTGAGGATGGTATACATTACAATATCCGTGAAGACAAAAAGGAGAATGGGGTTTTTTTCAAAACAATCCATGTTGTGGTTGAGTACGATAATTCTATCCCTAATTCTAAAGCAGTGTGCACCTGCCACTTATATGAGTTTAGAGGGATTGTTTGTAATCACATCATCACAGTACTTGTGCGTAACGGAGTTCACGTCCTACCAGAGTGTTACATCATACAAAGGTGGAGGAGAGATATCAAAAGAGGATACACAAGAGTTAAAATTAACTATGATGGTTGGATTACGACTAAAGAGCAACAACGGTTTGACAAGTTATGCACCACATTTGAAAGACTTGCGAATAGTGTGGCCGATGATGATGAACATTATGAACGCGTCTTGAAATGGCTTGAAGGTGAGTTGGAAAAATGCAACCTGTCAAATGCTCGTTCATCAATTTGTGGAGTTATGACTCAATTAACGGACACCCTGCCAATCCAAGTCATAGGCGTGAACGCACAAACAACTGTTGCTATTGAAGATCCAAACAGGACAAAACGTAAAGGCGCTCCGAGAAAGACTAGGCAAAAAGGACCTATTGAAAAGGGGAAGAAAAAATCAAAGGTACATCCATTTGTCTGTGAAGCCGGAGCAATGTGTCCAGGCACAGACATTTAGCCAATGGAACCCGTGTGAATTGCCTGTGGGACCATAGTAAATTGTCTGTTCACAGACAAATACCTACTGGAACCCCTGTGTCACCAGCCAATGAAGTGTCTGTGAGACCCCACTTATTTGTCTGTTCACAGACAAATACCTACTGGAACCCCTGTGTCACCAAATTATGAAATGTCTGTGAGACCATACTTATTTGTCTGGTCACAGACAAATAGTTACTGGAACCCCTGGGTCACCAAATTATGAAATGTCTGTGAGACCATACTTATTTGTCTGGTCACAGACAAATAGTTACTGGAACCCCTGGGTCACCAAATTATGAAATGTCTGTGAGACCATACTTATTTGTCTGGTCACAGACAAATACCTACTGGAACCCCTGGGTCACCAAATTATGAAATGTCTGTGAGACCATACTTATTTGTCTGGTCACAGACAAATAGTTACTGGAACCCCTGGGTCACCAAATTATGAAATGTCTGTGAGACCATACTTATTTGTCTGGTCACAGACAAATACCTACTGGAACCCCTGGTCCCAGATATTTAGCGACTGGAACTGGATATTTTATGAACACTCATTTGAACTACAATTGCAATTATAAACAGGGGCGGCCGAAGAAGCAAGGGGTGATAACATCAGAGGAAGTGGCTGGACCAAGCAATGTTGAAGGTGTAGGAGACGTAGGACCAACAAATGCTACATCAACCAGTTTACAGTGGATGTATAATGATGATTTAAGCTTGAATCTTTCTGTGTTCTAGAGAATTACAAGGATTGTAATTACATAATATTTTGTATCATGACAAAAATTCACATATGATGATATATTTTGACATTGTTCACAGTTTTCAGTTATCAGACCCAAAATATATTGACAATGCAAATTTACTACCATCAAATTTTGACATGTATACTTAGCAAATGAATAAACAACACTTTGAAATGTTTGTGTACCATCAAATTCGACATGTATACTAGGAAATGAATAAACAACACTTTAAAATGTTTGCCACAACTATATTCAAAATGTCGCACTTTATGACGATCAATGATCCACAAAACCAGAAGTTGATATACATATGTTTGGTTTAGGGATTACATAAAAAACAGAAGCATATATATAACTACTTCGGGGCATACGATTACAAATTGTTACCACAAAAAAATAAGTACTTTGGTTTAAGTGTTTTTTCCCATCATTCACTAGGACAAAAATATATATATGGACAGCCCGTCATACATTCTTCAATCTTCTATGCTTTCTTCCTAAAACCCCATATGCGTACTGCAAAGTTGTTTCGTATTGTGCGGCAGTTGTCGTACTCACACCCGGGTGTTAAGGGGAGGTCGTGCATCAAATGTTCAGCAAACGCCATAACCATAACACCGCATACTCCACTCCTGCACAATAGTAATAATGAATTCATATACACATATACGATTCCACCGGAAATCAAACACCATAAACATAAGTATATTTATCAATATTTTTTTACCCTATTCCTTGTTGTGGAACCCCATCAACAGCCACTGCCTCCCATGGTCTAAGGTGTAAGGGACGTGGGAGGTCATGTTGAATCTCTTGTAGTAGATAAGGAAGCCTCGAGCACAGATCAAATGCATACCATTTACTTCGGGAAGTCTTCAAGGAATCATAAACTTTAACCACGACCTCTTCCAAATTCACCTCACACAAGATCCAGTGTTTATTTTCAACATTCAACGGAATTAATACCTGCGAATGAATAAAAAATGAGTTGAAGATGTATGTGTAACATTGCAATAACATCACAATATATGTAACAAGCCACACATTTGACAACCCACGCCAGTCAATACGTTTCAAGAATCTGTCTCCACTCCAATCTTCTGGCTTGTCAAATCTCTTCTTCTTCAATAGATTCTGCATTTAAGCAATGATAGACACAAATTTCTTTAATACTAATGGGAGACACCTACACTACACTCCATAACATGTGGATGTTAGAGATTACCACGAAGAACATGGAAATTATTTGACACTGTTGATCCTGAAATCTTTGGCTCATCAACAAGTTAGTTAGGGCATCAATGTGCTACAAGAAAATGGTTCAAATTAAGGAAATTAAGGATTAAAATGTCTGTCCAAACACGTATGTACTGATCCAGGCACATAAAATGTTGAAGCATAAATGTCTGTAAGCACAGGGATTTCATATTAATGTCTGTGCACACAGGCACTTAGTAAAAATTACTTAATGGATATACCCTTAACTTACCATACTGCTCAACCATTCCTGTGGAGCTATGAGGTCAGAGAAGAACTTTCTATCAACAGTCATATGGATTGGCATGTCTAACATCACACACACCGGTTCCTCAGTAGCAGGGGCTTCCGTCCAACTCTTGAGCTCATTCAAGAGTTTATCTTCTTCTGAAATGTCTGTGTCCCTTTCAACTTCGCTTCGCTTCACCCGCTTAGCACATGGATCCAGGAAAGGGCTGCTATGATACTTTGAGGCAAACCTCTTTCTTTTTTTCCTTTCATAGATGGCAGGTTGGGCTTTGGTTATTTCAACTTCATCTTGAAGCACATCTTCCCATTCGACATTTTCAAAAGGCGTTGAGGCAGTGAGTGATGCATCCAAGAATGCATCATCCTAAACAATTGAAAGAAAATAGATGTTTACACATGTGCACGAGACAGGAACACCAATGTTTGCACACACACACTTGAAAGTAAACATACTGATAACAACTTAACCTTAGGCAGTGGTGACTCACAATCTCCTAAGACCATATCCACATCCTTCAACTGTGAAATAGTCAATGTTAGTTCACATTAATGAGTGGTCCACAAAATTACTATGTCAAATTACTATGCACTAACTTCTTCCAAAAGAAAGCTTATGAGGGTTGATTTAGGCAATGCGGGAACACTACGCTCAACAGCTTCAACATCTTTCTCCTTAAAAAAAACAATCACATGTAAGTACAGACACATTCCAAACCACCTTTATGCACACTTAATTGCAAAGCAAGCGTACCTTTTCACCGGTGACCACAAGTGCCATTAGGGCCTCACTTCCCTGCTCATCTTCATCAGAGTCATGCTTAATTGGGGACAAAATGTCAACAAATTTCACAGACTATTAGAAAATGACAAAACATTGGAAGGTTAGTTTTGGCAAGCATACCTTATCTTCATTTACCACTATCGGAGTGCCATGCTCACTTCCCTCATTGTCTTCCTCAGCCTGTAAACCACGAACATATCAAATTATTTACACTTTCACATACAGTGTGAACTAAGCACACATACATTTACAGAAGTCTGTGCAGACATTTACAGCTTACTACACAGACACTTTCAATGCGGTGCACAAACATAAGGCAATCATACCTTATCTTCATTTACCACTATCGGAGTGCCATGCTCACTTCCCTCATTGTCTTCCTCAGCCTGTAAACCACGAACATCTCAAATTATTTACACTTTCACATACAGTGTGAACTAAGCACACATACATTTACAGAAGTCTGTGCAGACATTTACAGCTTACTGCACAAACACTTTCAATGCGGTGCACAAACATAAGGCAATCATACCTTATCTTCTTTTACCACTATCGGAGTGCCATGCTCGCTTCCTACATTGTCTTCCTCAGCCTGTAAACCACGAACATCTCAAATTATTTACACTTTCACATGCAGTGTGAACTAAGCACACATACATTTCCTGTAAATGTACAGACATTTACAGCTTACTTCACAGGCATTTACATATGCATATACAGACATTAGGCAACCATACCTTCTTTTCAGTGGCCTCATCCAGAATGTCATGCTCTCTACATTGTGTATAATGAACAGAATCATGCTTATCTTTCTCCTCATTGGTGACTTCCTGTTTCGTGAGCACATTAAATAATTGCGTAGACAGTTACATGTAACTACACCGACAATAAAATTGATGCACATATACATTTACTTCACAGACAAAACTAGTAACATGCACGTCTATTTTTTAATTCATACCTTCTCTTCAGTGGCAGCTTGCTGTTTGCCATGCCCAACCACATCCATCAGCGTACATAACATGCCTTTCACCTCATCAAGTATGGCTTGGATACCTGTAACACTTGTCCTCAGCTTGTCCATGTCATTCCTTACATGTGCAAGTTCTTCCATGACCTTTAATTTCTTAAAAAGTTTGACATCCACATCAGCAGCCCCATCATCATCTCCATCATCTTCTTCGGTAGCATCTTCTTCGTCAGATTCTTCTTCACCATCTTCCTCTCCATCATTGTCATCATCCTGCAGTAAAATTCAAATTATTACAGTTGAATGTGTAATAATGGTTCATGCATATTATGCGAAAAAAAATTATAAAGTACTTCTTACACTTTCTTCTAAAGGCTCATCAGTAAATACTAGTTCCTTCAAAGAAGAATAGTGGAAAAACCCAACAGCTTTCCAATTCAAAATGCTAGCTTTTTCAGATTTCACTTTTTGGCCGCATTTCCCTGCAAGTCCAGGGATTTTCTCATACGCCCACACCTGTGTAAACAACCAAAGAAATTCTTGGTTAAAGCAAGTTAAAGACATTTTCTCATACGGCCACAGACAATTTCAGATTTTTACACAGACAATTCTAATAACACACAAACCAAGTTAAAGCGAACCTGCAAGACGTGGGGTAAGGACCAAACAGTGAACTTAGCATTCTTGTATTCAGGCTTCTTAGCTAATGAAGCTTCAAACTTCTCTGGTTGACCACGCATCAACGACTTCATGTTGCTCACCATAAGCTTATAGGACTCGAGTGCCCAAGGATACTTTTTGAAGTTCTCAAAGTCTTCAACCCAATCAAAATGATCAGCATTGATCATTGTACCGTGGTCTCTAGTAAGCAACACACCATCAATGACGAAAAGGGAAGCGAACTTCAAAAATGCTAACGGCTCAATCCTCCTCTTTGGATTCAATGCCACCATTGTTTCCTTCAGATCTTGGTAAGTCACACGCTTCTTTCCTTTATAGAATATATCAGCCACACTACCTTTCTGCTTTTTTTTAACAAATCTCGGTCTGGTGGTGTACGCGGGCAGGTTTGTTATTTCACAGAAATCTTTAAAAGTGAACTTAAAGATCTTCCCTCTTATTGAAAACCAAAGCTCATCCTCTGGTTGTTGCTTAACCAGCCTTAACAACAGCAAATGCACAATCTGGCCAGAAAATTGCAATTCTGGAGGTTTAGCAAAATGACCCCATGGAAGCTTTTTGAACTCCTCCCTTTGATCGAGGGGCATGGAATCCAGCAAGTCACCCAATTTCCCAAAAAAAGTGCACTGGGAATACTGTGCCGGGAAATGGGACTTAACGGGAACCATGAGTTCATGCTTTTTCCTACAAACAACACAAATGAAGTCATATATCTACACAGTCATGCCTTACAACAGATTCAATTCTACACCCCATGTTCAAAATCCAAAATAATGGCCCCTTAAGATACCGAAACCCCTTCTATGTTGAGCAAATTAAATAATTTAAGCATATACTTGAAAAATACCATACTGATTACACAAAATTATTTATTATCAAGGAACACAAACAACACATCACAAACTACGGACAAATGAAGTCAAATGTAAAATCAGAAAACGACTTCAATCATAATGAAATGCATAACCTAAATCGTCGGGCCACAGACATTTTCAGTCCATCCCCCAAACAAATTACAAATCCTACAATCCGGCCCCTCAGGGTTCCCAAACCACCATTACAATGTGCTTCTCACTTCATGAAACTCATTGTTCAAGCGTATACTTTCGAAATACCATTGATGGTGTAACACCGTCCCCAAAGATATTTACTTTTATGTAAATAATGTATTGAACCTTATTAAAGAATTAATAAATTTACGAAGTTGTAAATTTTTATTATTTCTTTCGCGTGAATAGTAAATTGCACGTGGGACCCACACCGGGAGCGGGGGCCGCCCGACACTCCCGAGACCACATATTTTATTCATCTTAGTGAAGATAATATTTATATAGTGGGGGATATTTTATTTGGGTCGTGGAAAGGCGCAGAGTTGACCGATTGGGAAAAAGATGTCCAATTACCGGTACCGACAATTTAACAGGTAACAGCCCGGAAATGAATTTCGGAGGCTTATAAATTAAAGTTGGGGAATGTATATTCATTATACATGTCATAATGAGTAAGAGCACATAATATATTTTATTTGACCCGATAAAATAAAATATGATTAAAACAGTCCGAAAAAATACAACTTTCGGGACCGATTGTACACTTCTGGACAAAAAGGGTTGACCTCCCACATGGGTGGGGGCCAACCCACGAAATTAGCCTCATTTCTCAAGGAGTTGGTCGGCTGGTGTAAGGTGGGAGGCATGGGAGAGGTTATGAAGTGAAAGAATAGGAATCAAACAAATTGAGGTGGATCCCATCCACACTCATTTGATCATTAAGCCAAAAGAACTATTCTCACCTTCCCTCATCCCTCATTCCTGCGGCCAGCACCTCAACCAAGAAGCCAAGAAAATTCCCATCTTCCTCCTCCATTGTTGAAGAGAAATCATCAAGGAAGAATCACCCAAAAAGGAGCTAAAGTGCTAAAAGTGTGAAATAATTAAGGTAATGACCTTATTATAACTCTTTCTTTATTTTTCTTCTACCATATGAGATACATATCATGTGAAGAACCCTTAAGAGGGTTCTACATGTTATAAGTATGGATTAATGGGTTGGAAAGTGATTTCCATGTCCAAGAACGGGCTTAGAAGCCAAAACGACCGGTGCACCGGAAAATAACCTTTTTGGAGGTTATTTGTATTAATATGAGTTTCATGATTATAAAACCTTGTTAGGCACTTGTAAGGGGTATTCCAAGTGATTTCACAAAGTTGGAAAAGTCGCCGGAGTTGTCGCCGGAGTTGACCAAAAGTCGCCGGAGTTTCACCGGAGTTCAACCAAGAAGGGTAGAACTTCTTAACGCTAGTTCAAGGTGAGTGGACGGCTTAATATCTTATAACTTTTGGGTTAATTATGAGATTACCTAAATAAATGTTATATGTGTTCATAATGATGTTTAAAAGATATTTAAACATGTGATTAGCCAACATTATCAAGTTGTACGAAAAGAATTAATTGATTATGCATGAAATATGATATGAGGTATTATATAAAATGCACATTAGCTTGAAGTGTAAAAGAAGCTCAAATGAGTATTATTGACTTAATTATATGATGATTAAGTTGATATGTACAAGGCTTGAATTGGCGGTCAACGACAACGTTGACCGATGGATGATAGATTAATTAATATCGATTGATGTTAGTTAATTATACACTTATATAAATGCATGGTTTTGCATGGATTGTGATACATAAGATTTATGTATTGGATTAGTTATGACTTATGAGTAACTAAGGATGATATAGACTCTATCTAGGTTGATAGGAGGTTGATCATAGAAAAACTTGGTGGAGGACCCTAGTACTTAAAAAGTACTTAACACTCAAACTCGGTGGAGGACCCTAGTACTTAAAAAGTACTTAACACTCAAACTTGGTGGAGGACCCTAGGACTTAAAAGTCTTTAACACTCAAACTTGGTGGAGGACCCTAGTACTTAAAAAGTACTTAACACTCAAACTTGGTGGAGGACCCTAGGACTTAAAAGTCCTTAACACTCAAACTTGGTGGAGGACCCTAGTACTTAAAAGTACTTAACACTCAAAACTTGGTGGAGGACCCTAGGACTTATGAGTCCTTAACACTCATAAACCGGTGGAGTATCCAAGGATTATGATCCTAAAACTCATAGATTATGATATACAAATAGGGACAAGGAGGAGTCCTATACACTCATAGGTTTATGGGTGGGTTGGGGTTTTTAGTCAAGAATATTGACTATTACTATTTTTCCCAAATAAAATGGTGATCTACGGATCGGATATTTTCCAAGTATATATATACTAATAAGTATTTCATAACTTGGGGGAAAGATTATTTATTTAAGTATCACCCTATGTTTGGGTCTTATACTTGAAACGCTAGTTATTCTATATTTAGCCTGCTACTCGCTCGGTACTTGTACTGACCCCTTCGGGGGGGCCCACCATTTTCAGGTTGAAGCTAGAGCTTGCTACTTGCACCTTCTCACGGGTGATATCAAATCAGGGAGACGTGGTTCGTGTTTCTTTATTTTCTTTCAAACTACCGAACACTTGCTCATGGATATTTGTTTTACTATAAACTATTTTTGGGGCTTGCATGCCCATGTTGTCGGCCGGTTGTGGCCCATGACTTACCGTTGAATATTTCCGCTATTCATTGGTTTAATGTGATGTTGTTATGTATGTTTACTACTGAGTATGGATGGATTGTTTTCTCGAACGCCTTGTGTAATTAAGTGAGGTTGACCCGTGGGTGACGTCACTTAGTTATACGGCGGTTGTACACGCGCTTGGATTGCGGTCTGGGGCGTGACAATTAAGTGGTATCAGAGCCATCTCAGTTCTAAACATTATAATCAACCTCTCACAAAAGATTTTACAAAAGAGTTTTTACCGAAAACCATGAGCATTGTATTTTGACGTTTATAGGACTATTGGTGCTTAAGTTGCAAGGCCTCTAATCGTTAAGACGGTACCCTTAACAATTGGTATGGTAGTGACTTGGGCCAATACGTGTCTGTAACGTTCTTCCGTCAGTTGACATTTATAGGAGTCTAATGACTCATCCATATTTCTTTCAGAAATGGAGGGCAGGCGAATGAGGACCAGGAACAATCCGAGGGGGCAGGCGCCGGTAGCATCCCAAAGGGGAAGCCGGGCTGCATCTCGGGGTTCGAGAGGAGGCCGTGGAGGCCGTGGAAGCCGTGGAGGTCATCAAGCTCAAACTGTGAGTGATGGCCATGTGAGCTCGGTGTATGAGACCAACACCGAAGACTACGACTCAACCTACGTGCCAGAGACGGAGCATGAAGAGACCCCGTATGATGGGGGTGACACGTACACCGATGATGATGATGAAGAGAGTGATGCCAAGTTCGCCCAAATGGGCGAATTGCTTGAATGGTATCAAAAAGAAAAATTGAGGAGGGACCTTAGGCGCCAAGCGAGGCGTGGCTCTCGCGGTGGTTCGGGTCAAGGAAGCCGGGGAGCTTCCGTGGCCATCCCAGCGGCGTCACAAGGTGGGCGTGAAGGAGGTTTCGTCGTGAGAATCTCCAAGTACCTCAAGGAGGCTAGGGCCTTGGGGTGTAGG